TATCACACTCACACCTACACCTAACTCGTCTTTTCCCATTCGGTTTCACCTGAGGTTCTTCCTGGTGCGTGATGTCACTCAGCCATCTTTTCAGTGCATGTGCAATCCATCTTCACTTCCTTCTGCATATTTGATGCACGATTGTTTCTTGGCTGATTTGTTGCCAGAGTTTCTTATTGTTAATCCTTCCTAGTGATCTGATCTCCAGTATGGAACAAAGTCGGCTGTTGATGAGAGTCTGAGGTAGCACTTTTAAAATGCTTTCAATGGGGCTTCAAGTTTCTAAACTATGACGAAGCACTGCCTTGACACTAGTGTTAAACGGAAATCAGATCTTGTTTCTTATTCTGAGTACAGTAGACTTACACACTGATTTCATCTATTTGAAACGATGATGCTCAAATCAGTGAAAGTGGCATTCCTCAAATTTCTCCCAGTGATGGCGATTGGTTTTCATTGTTGTTGGTTAGATATCTTTATCACCTTCGTCTTCTCTATGTTCACACGAAGTCCAGCCTTCGCTGCTAACCTCTACTGCCAGTTTGTTAGTTTTCGCTTGCAGATTTTCAAGTTTGTGTGACATCAAAAATAAATCATCTGAGAAGTCCAGACCTTCTAGAATATACTTTACTGTCTAACCTATTCCTGTCTTCTCGTTTTCCATGGTCTGTAGCATGACTTAATCCACCACAATTAGGAATATCATCGGTGATAGTAACCAGCCTTGTCTTACTCCTGTGTTTATTTCAAAGGCTTCTCTAGCATCTATGATGCGTGATTAGAATTGAGATGATACGATTTGCCTAGCCCGTTACTCTGATGATATTGAACAAACAGTTTAGTACCATTCATTTACATAAAAGATAGGCAAGACGCTTAGTGATTACCGTGAAAAGAAGACTCAATTGCTGGTTGGGACACTAAGGCAATAGGGGCTCCTTTGAATCCTATCGTAGTTCAAGTTTTCGTGTTTCACGTTCATTTATCACACATGGAGTTTAAGAGCAACATTATCACCTCACTTGGATACTTTTTAATGGTATATAAAGTTTGTTTCCCTTGAGTAGAATGATATCATCCTGAATAATATTTACTTTCTTGTATAAATGCAGAGATCATTAGTTTTATGTAAACATGCAACCCTGGTTTTTTTCATTTTATAGTGCATAAATTAGTAAACACGCGATAGAAAAATACGGAATTTATTAATTATTTCGAATAAGTCCCAAATTAAAGAAAGTGTGAAACAATTAATAATTCAGAATTCAATACTAATGTAAAATAGTGAATACATTAGGCCTTCAAATGCTAAAGTTATTACAGGATAATTCTAGGAAAACAAATTCATTATCTGTTAATAAACTCATAACTTATCTGTTTTCGTGTTCATGTTGTTTTTTAAATTTTTCAAGTGAAATATTGTTGTCATTAAATAAATAAGCACTTCGGAAGCAAATGCTTTTATCTTTTTACTACTTTGTGTAAGCGGTTTTCTTATGTTTAAACTTAATGCTTGTCTGATTTCAGGTCAGCTGAGTGGCGCGGATGGAGTAATCACACAAGATCACACGACAGACGACCAATAGGAAGATTCTTCCCCTTTCACTCAATTGTAATATTTTATTATTATTGTTCCCTTGGGTTCCGAGTGGAACAGGGCTTCAACAACACATCTTAACTTTATTCTGTTTTCTGCTGTCCTGTTTAGATGGGCCCACGGTTGCCCATAGTCTCACATCTCCTCCCCTCACGACTTTCCTCATGTCACCCTCTCATTCACAATCCACTTGTCGTTTCCCATTCGGATTCCATTCGAGTAATGGCGCCGCGCGCGATGTCATTCGAGGGTCTTCCCAATGTATGCCCAATCCATCTCCATTTTTTCTCCTACATATTTGTTGAGTGATCGGCTCTTGGTTGGTTTGCTACCATAGTTTCTTATTGCTAATTCTTCCCTGTCATTTGGTCTTTAACATGAAGCGAAGGCAGATGTTGATAAAACGTCTACAGTGGTCTGGTAGAAATGTTTCTTGTGACGCACAGTGTAAGTTTCTGATCCATATTGCAGCAACGACTGACTTAACATTGGTGTTGAAAATTCGAGTCTTGTCGTTTATGCTGAGTGCAGAAGATTTCCAAAGTGATTTCAAGTTGATGAAGGTGTCTCTTGCATTTTCGCTTCTGACTGGCTTTGACATCTTTCTAGATAAGTGAGCAAAGTGATCTCTTTGAAGTTTCTCCCATAGATGGTTACTGATGCTGGTTGTCGCTGCTATTGGTTGGTCATCTTCATCACCTCCGTCTTCTCTATGTTCACCGGCAGTCCTGTCTTTTCTGACTGTCTCTTCAGCTGGTTTTTTGCTTTTCGCCTGCAAGTCTTCGAGTTAGAATGACATTAAACATAAGTCATCCGCGAAATCCAGATCTTCCCGAGTCTTCTTATTGGTTCAGCGTATTTCTATCTTCTCACTCCCCATGCACAGTCTGACGTTTAATCCAGCCCACCACAATTATGAATATCATCGGTGATAATAGGCAGCCTTGTCTTACTCCTGTATTCACTTCGAACGCCTCGCTGAGTTTTCCGTTGTAGATCACCTGACATGTGGCATTATCATATAGCCAGCTATTGAATGAGGTTGATAAAGATTTGGGAACTGCACGATATTATGTTGAAGTTGTTTCCAAATTACTTCTTGGTCTACGCTGTCAAAGGTCTTTTCAAAGTCGATGAAGTTGAGGTGGAGGTTTGACTGCCATTCTATATTTTGTTCTGTGATACGATGCGGAGAGCTGCAACTTGATCAGAACGTGATTTGCCTTTCCTGAATCCAGCTTGTTCCAAGCTGGCGGAGTTCTGTATCCAGTGCATCTTTTATTCTCTTCAGTACTTTACTTGGCATGGACAAGAGCATTATTCCACGCCAGTTCTTGAAGAGGCCTTAGTCATCCTTCTTTGGTAGGTTAACTAGGAGGCCAACCTTTCTTCCAGTCGGTAGGCACCTTTCCTTCTTTCCGAATCTTTTACAGTAATGGCGTCAGCACATCTGCTACAGTCTTTCATTCCGTTTCCAATGCTTTAGGGGAATTCCGTCTGGCCCTGCTGCCTTCCCGATCTTCAGCAGCTTGTTCAAACGCAGGATTTCCGCTTTCGTTGGAAGGATGGTATCCACTGGCAGGCACTTCCGTGCGTGTTGATGATGGTATTTCTGGATGACTTGCAGGCGGTGGTTGATTCAAGTGTCCTTCGAAGTGATGAACCAGTTGTTGTAGTTGTCTGTCCTCCATGGTAATTAGGTTCCCTTAACCATCTTTTATTGGTTTCACCTGTTTTGTTCTGTTCCCGGATAGAGGCCTGGTTATTTGATACAATGTTCTGAGGTCTCTTCTACCTGCGGGATGGCTTTTCTGCTCCAGTTTCCGGCCAGTGTGTCGTGGAATTGTCTTTTGTCCCTCCTCGCACTATTCTTCACTTCTTTTCTCATTCAGTGCTGTGTGCATTTTACTCAGCTTCTCCTTCTGTTGTCCATCTTTGCATTGAGTCATCTTCTCTTTCAACATCTTTCTCTCCTCCATTAGCTTCCAGGTATCCGTTGGGAGTCATTCCTTCTCTTGTCTCTTCTTTCTTCCTAGGATAGTTATACAGGTTTCCTTGAATATCGCCTTCAGAGAGTTCCAATGTTCTTCCACGCAGGTTTCCTCAGTAATACCACGTAGTGTCTCAGACTTTGCACTGGTCTGATCTGTAGTGAAGGTGTCCCTTTTGGTTTAGTCCTTCAGTTTCTGACTGCTGAACTTGAATTGTGGTGTGTCTTCAGGTGTTCTGAAGGATTTCAGCTTCACCTTTTAGGTTCCTTGAACTAGATGATAGTCTGGGCCCACACCTACTCCCCTTCTCGAGTTTGTGCCCAGCAGACTGCTTCTGTACTCTCTTGAGCAGCATTTAGATTAAATGCATCTGGTTTGTGGTGTGTCCTTCAGGCGAAATCCATGTCGCCTTGTATATATCCTTGTGTTTCTACACACTGCCTCCGATCACCAAATCACTGAAGGTGCAGAAGTCTGAGGAGATTTTTCCACTGTCATTCATTTCTACAAGGGAATCTCTACCATGATGAGTTATCTTCCTGTATTGTCCGCTCCCAGTTCGGATGCCATTCATATCACTCATAAGGATTTTGATATCACCATTTGGGACGTTGTCCATGACTGTTTGCAGTCGTCCGTAGAAATCTTCCTTATTCTCTTGTTCTGAGTTGTTTGTAGCACTGTGCGTAGCATTGGATGATTGTGAACTTCCCTCCTTCCTTTTGAGTTGAATTTTGCTGCCATTATCCTGGAGTAGATTGGTTCCCACTGTATAAGAACTTTGTATGCATTATAATGAACTTTGGATGCAGTTGGTGACATCATGATAGTCACTCCCTCACTGTGCTTGTAGCTGTTGTTTGGGTTACCGGAGTAGATTACTGACTGTCCACTTGACTATTTGGCTAGTTCACATGCATAGTCTCTGCTCTCACGGATGCCTAGCACTTCTTAGTCACATCTTCTCATTTGTTTGGCAACTTGATGAGCCTTCTAAGACTCGTACGTTGTACGAACATTGCGCATCCCTTTACTCATTTTTGCTTTATTCGAAAGAAGACACATCGGCTGACTCGCTTCGCGAAGGCTTTCACCAGCCCGCGTCATTTCATTTCTCCGAATCCAACAAGGAATAAATTTGTTTTTTTGTATTTTTAATATTTTTCCTGTGCTTTAAAGTTTCTGTAGCAGTTTGACTGATTTTCCGGGATGGGGTCGCTAGCCCCGTGCCCAGCCCTCTCTCTTTTCATGGGCTTGCAACGGTCTAGAAAACTACCGAGGTAGTAAACTGGGCGAGGTTAATTGTAATATGACTGTTTGTAAATATAATCCTTAACCTTGAGTCCTCGTTCTCACAGGCACGTGGACTTGTGTGATCACCCTGCTAACGTGCTCTTTGCTCTCTGTTTCAGATCATCGCTTGACGATTGGCGCTACATTTGTAGATTTCACTAAAACCGCTGAAATGAAGTCTTTATTACAGATTACATATTGCCTTCTGGTCTATGGTAAGATCATTTTTGCAGATGGTAACAAAAATATTTTTTCAAAATATTTAGCTCCTTTGTGATCATTTCACATTATTTAATGCAGGTGATGAGTATTCAGGTGTTGTGTGAATGAATGATAAGTCACTGCCCATCCGTTCATCATCAAAACATCTGCCCAGTTACGTCTTCTCCCGTCAGTTTTGATCATACTGAACTAGGAGGAGAGGTTTAGGTTGTTAATTGGTGTTGAAACTATCCTGGATGGTCGTGTAAGTGTAGAACTTGGGCATCGTGGTGGAATGTAATTCCATATAAGTTAATTTTAAATATCCCACAAGAATGCAGTATTAACAACTTCTGAGCTATGAAACTCAACTGATAAACAGGTTATCAGTTCACTGTAGTCACCACAGTATAATGAATGCCAATTTGTCAAGTGAATGAATGATACAATCCTATCGATTTTTCACTACCCAGACTGGTAATTTTGAGGTCACCGGTCTGAATCCTGAGGCAACCCAGATTTCTACTTCATCTACAGTCGTCACCAGTTACATTAATAAATATATCGGCTTACTTGGAGCTATCTGAGGTGGCGTCGTCATCTGTTTTCCAGGCAGTTAATTTCAGTTTATTTATTATACGGTATGAATTTGAAGTTATGTGATTCAGAACATATAAGTCAACGAAGAGATCTCTTTTCGTAACTTCATTTCAATGCTATACAGTTATTTAGGGCTTCGTATATGCAACATTAATTGACAGTTAGGGCTGGACGTAGGTGTCAGTTAGTAACAATTTATGGAAAACAGTGAATAATCCTGCCTAATCCAGAAGGGTGACAACAAGTTAGTTAACTGATGAATTTATTGGCAATAATTGATAGGAAACAAATAAACAAATGACTGAGAATGGGCTACAAAAATTAAAGAAAATAATAGTACTACATGGAGCTTTTTATGAAACAATTCAGGAAAATAAAGTTGACACTAAAATCATGGTAGAAAAAAGGCTGAATAAAATGTTTCTGAATATAAAGTTCCGGTTTTTCCTTATGGATTATTAGAGCTTCGACTGTATGAAAAAGATGTATGCGAAATTTGCTTGAACTGCTTGATCTTAACGCATATATGACTCTGAATGAAGTCTTCACAGACACTGCGTGACTAGATGTAATAATATGCTTCAGAACTGAGCTGTTGACTGTTTTGTCTTCTCCTCTCAATGAGGTATTCATGAGCGCGTTTAGATAATGTACTGTTGGTATGGTTTATGTTCTTAACTTCATTGGAGTATGGAGTAATAAATATGATTCCGATTATAACACTATAGGACATCCACGTTCTCACGTTCTGCTATGTGCTAACGCTGTACACAGCCAAATACGAACAACGCTGTGTTAAGAAACGCACGTAAAATCTTGAAAAGATGTATTGTTAAAGAAATCATATTTTAAAAAGCGCTAAACGATGAAGTGTATTACCGCGCAGAATATATATGTACTAAACCAAGAGAAATGTTCAACAACACAATGGCAAATATTCCGCAAGCATTTGTAAAAACTTGTTTCTGTATAGGTACATTAATTAGTTTTATAAGCGTACAGTTAGAGTTAATAAAGGGGCGCTGTAGGAGCAAGAGAAATGGTGATTACAAATTGAAGTTGCCAACAATGGGATTTTGGATTTAACATTTTGGGAAAAAATGGGTGTGTAATGAAGGTGAGGCCTAGGGATTCAGCAAAGATCGTCCTTCGAATTACTCTCGACAGACAGCTTCGGAGAACTTCACTGACTGTATTTCCCTTGAATTCCCAGCTTACAATCAGTTGTTTTGTCAGCAAATCCAGATTCCGTGCAGCATCGGCCTTTCTCTTTAAATTTTTGTTGATAAAACAGGCTGGATATTTATTTTTGGTTGGAGTGTTTCTGAACGATTCCAATTCCTTACTCAGTGTATCTTCGGAGCAAGTGCGATAGATTCTTGTCGCAAGACAGGCCATGAGGTTTCTTCTTTTGCTTATTTGGATAAAACTTTGAAAGTTTATTAGCTCTTAACTTTACTTTGTCATTTGGTAAACCGATCTTTGTAATGTTCTATCTGTTCGTGTTTAATGTTGAACATTTAGGAAGGATAATTTACCTTCTGATTACACTCCAGTTTTCAATTCTATCGACCGATTGGTGTTGTCGTTGTCGTTGCAAATAATAGCGAGAAAGCTCTGAATTTCCAGACCTCCCATTTGAAGAATACCCATTCCTTTACCAACTAAAAATTAATTGTGCTGTGTAGAAACTGTTTTGAATGGATTTTATATTCTTATGTTGAGATTAGCTGAGATACCTCTAAGTTGGTTAGCTGTTATCGATGTAATGATTGATAACTGGAGATGGAATGGACACCTGGTTCTTTCGTTTAACATTAAAACATGAATAACCTCTTCACTTTATTATAATGTGATTTAAAGTGAAATCTTATCACCTCATAAGAGATTAAGCAAATGTTATACATTGAACTGTTGGGGTTATCTTACACTTATATATAATATAAACAGAAATCAGATAGTGATGTGTTCTGACCCAGTAAAAGTGATTTATTGTGTCAAATAATAAAATTTTGATACAGATTATTCTTCCCCTGATAACATGCTTAACTCGGACGACAATATCTTTATGGAGAAAATCAACTTGGTAAAAACTATTGACACAATGAATTTTCTGTTTCTGAAAACTCTTTCATGATTTGAAAAACACACATCCTTTTGGTATTTCTCATTGTTTGTATGCATAGATGCTATTGTAGTTAACGAAACCGTATTTATTTATTATACTTTACACTATCAGAAAACGTTAGTTATGTTAGCGTGTGAATTTTATGCGCAAAAAGTAACGCTATGTGGTGTAATTTTGTCTGCTACTGTGGTATCAACAACAATGGTCATGTTAAGGTTTGCTTTTAGCCAGCATTAAATCATTTTGATGTAGTTACGTCCTCTGAGTTGGGTGATTTCATTACGAAGCTTGTAAAGATGTTTCAGACAAAATCATCAGTGCAAACTTCAAAATGCAGTGGACTTCTTTGAATTCTCCATGTATGATATATTTGTGTCTCTTGAAAAACTTCACTGTGATTGCTTGTAAATTTGCATTAGTATTGATAAACGTTTTGATATAAACTTTGATCATTTTGTCGTGTGATTTGCTCTTTATTAGCTGATGAATTTGATCTGTAGCAATATGTCTATTAATCTCTAGTTCATCTGATTACCAGACTTCAAGAAATTCTCTGGTATTTTTCGTGCTTCCATTGTTTACAATTTCTGCATTTTCTCAGTCGAATCGGTATCCGTAGTTGTCTACATGCATCAATTTGAAAGAATACATGTTATGTGTTTTGACAGCTAGTTTATGTTTTTGAACTCAAAGTCGAATATAGTGTTTATCACAGTTCATGCAATTTTCTACGTAGATGCTATTCATATTGTCAACTTTTGCTGTTGGGTCTTTCGGTTTGCATAGTGTTGAAAGAAGTGTTTGTGTTATTTCGTGTGCTGTATCTATTCCGAATGGTTTTAGTATTCTAGCTGTTATTTCAGAGACAGTCTTTAGGTATGGCAGGATGGATTTTTTATCGGCTTCTGAGGATAGTTTCTTGTTGGTAATTTGATTCGAGCTTAGACATATTTTTGATCACATAGTAAGAGTTAGTTGATAAATAAATATATAAATAAATAATGTTCTACGAGCTCACCTTGTAACCAGAAGGTCCTGAGTTCGAACCTCGATGGATGGATACTGCTGAAGGATCCCAAAATAGGATGAAATAGCTGTCTACTACTCGAACGCTGGTTTTCCAATGGTTCTCTAACTGATGTCAGCCCATGGTGAAACCCTCAACCAATCAAATATTTTTCTACTGTTTTTCTGATGACTGGAGTGCTGCACTTTGTTTCAGTTCTTTTTAGTAATGTTTGTACACAGGGTTTTTGCATGCTGTTGAAGGTTGATTTCTGTTTTTAGATTCCCTGCATCTGTTCTCCTAACTAAAACATAAGAAAGGACTTGTTGTCTGATTCTTCTTCTATTGTGAATTTATTGTCTTCATTTACGTTGTTGATTATTTTGTGAGTACTTTGTAAATCATTTCTTCTAATTACGGAAAGCGTGTCACTAACAAAACGTATCCAGATTCTTGATTCGATTATGGGTAGAGATATCATTTTTCAGTCTTTACATGATAGCTTGTGCAATTAGTCGTGATATGGGCGATCTCATTGGTATTTCTTTTATCTGTTCATTCGGTTACTATTCGGTCTATGAATTGAAAATATGTTATATGAGCTCTATCCATCTCTAACAATGTGTTTTTATATGTTCATCACTATAGAATAATTGGTGTATAGTTTCTCCTGGTAGATTTTGTCCACCTGAAATGTACAGTACTGTGATGTCAAAGGACAATATGATTTCACTGCCACCTAGCTGAATGCTTTTAATTTTTTCTAATCATCGGTCAGTACAAACGATCAATAATAATACAAATTAATAGCCAGTCACAACAAAAGTTTTCAGGAGACACAATTATATCATTCATGGAGAAGTTATATACGTTCACTTCATATTGAAGGCTTTTCCTAGAAGCACAGTGAGAGCTCAAAATGATCCACCTGAGTACAAAATCTTTTCTATTAGAATTGAATCAAGCACAATGAGTGACAGTTTGTATGAGATCATTTTTCTTATGGTGTGATTACCTGAAATGCTGCATATAAATAATCGTAGCTGAATAAATGTACAAAACAAGCAAGTATCTGCGGTAGGTGAAATCACCAAATGTACAACCACTGCTAGAAACGAAACTGCACTACAGTTTCCTTTGGCAATCCAAATTATCCGAATAAAAACATGTGATCTGTTCACAGCAGTAGACTGTACCAAGTGGTCTAGTCAGTGTGTATTTAAGAAAGAAGTGAATAAAACTGTATCTAATTCCAGCGATGATTCTCGTCTTGAAGAAGTTTGATATCACATTCAGTCTGCTTTACAAATAAAGTTAAGAAAGCTCGATAACTTCCAGGATATAGATACTTAGAGTGAATAAAATTCTTATACAAAATTTGGATTTCGAGAACAACAAAGTCTAAGAAAGAGGCGGTATTGAAGAGAGATATACAGCAGTGCATTAATTATATCTTACTGTTGGAACTCATTAAAGTTTGACCTGATATATAATCTGAAAACTGTATTCGAACCTGAGGACTGGGAAATTTCGCGATGTTTCACTGTAGGTGGAGCGTCGAAAATGAACATTTTATCGAAAAGAATATTCACTCTCTTAAAACTTTTAATGGACATCTCTAATCAACATTTTGCAAACCAAAGTATGCCAGCTGAACTCAATAAGTCATATTAAAGTGAATGCTATGTTGTAATCTTAAATAATGATAAACACTGATGTAGCTCAAGACAGGTTACTCTCACCATTTATACTCATTTTTGCTGTAGGCATACTGATAGAGTTGACTATCATTGAATTGGATATCTTAGGAGTAGTCTTGCTATTACAGAAAGGCTTACACCACTTTAACTACTCAGATAACATATTTCTATCAGACCAAGATTCTAAAAAAATGCATTCGTCTGAATGTATCCAGAAAGAGTCTTAGTGCGGAAATAAAAAAACAACCAGAGTTGTCCCTGTCTGGTGTCATTTTGCAATACACATGACAGTAGACTCTTCAATGGTATAACACTTCTTAGATCAATTTCTATTCATTTACGTCTTCTTTAGTTAAGCCTGCTTTCACGTAACTTTTTTTTAGTTGGTTATTTAGATCAGGTTCTTATCGTACGCATAAAAAGTTGAAGGCAAATTTTATGGAGTGGAATGAATGTTCTCAAGCATATCAGAATAATTTAATTTTTGAGAGTGTGTCATTTCGCAAACTGATGTAGACTAAAGTATATCTGTGAGGAGATTAATTTCCTGCCCACTAAAACACTGAGACCCATCTTGAACTGCCATAATTAAAGCCTAGATACAAAAAGATTACTCTCGTGTTCTTCAGTTAGAAAGTCATCATTAGAATACTAACAGGCAATATAAAGAGTTTATTATAATTGAAAATGTTAACTATTTGACTTGTATATTAAGAGAAAAATATATTAGACGGGGAACTTGAAGACATGATATTTAATGTGTGGAAGGACGTCGTGTTATATTCCACAAAATGATCTGAATCCTTGAACACCATCAAACATTAGTACTCTGTTCACTAGCATTAGAGGGTTCTCAATCATATTGTTTCGATAAGCACAAGAAAACGATTCTTTTGAAATATATTCAATCGAATATATTGTTACCTTTTAGTTGGACTGCCTGTTCATCAACATCGAAGCAATTATTAGGTTGATTCGTTAATGAGTGACTGAATCAAAACATTTCCGATCTGTGTGGGATAAATTTAGTTAATAACGCTAGCCTCTTTCTGAAAAAAGGTAGTGTGATTCCTGAGCCTAATAGTGTATGGCCAGCTATTGCGTCACAGTTTTGCTTAGGCTGATTGCATGATATACACCTGGAGGGTTGTATAAACAAGAATGTATACTATTTACTCCAAAATTCATGCAGATAAAAAACCCTATAAATTTTCTTGCAAGACTACTATTTACCTAATTTAACCTGATTTAAGTTACCAGTTTCTCTTTCTATAAATGTGAAACTCATCCTCCTGTTTGCATAACTTTTTCTCATTGCATTTCAGCTTCCTTAACCGATTGTTTGAAGCATATACAGGACAGCGAACCTTTATATGAAGTATTCAACGATGAACCTGAGAACATAGACACATTCAGTCGGGAAGAGCGTTCTAAGTCATTTCCTAGAGTTGGAAGATCATATGTGAGCAATGCAAACAGACTAAGACGAATCCTCATGAACAATCCAACACTTTTGACTGGTGAACCAAAACGTTCTGTTCGCCTTATGCGTTATTATAAATGAACTGTTTTAAAGTGTGCATGTGATATTGGCGAATGATTCATTTATTCTACATAAGATGCATAGAATATAATAAAAATGAACAAACAATCTCGGCTTCTGATTCAATTTATTGTACACTGAATGGAATCAACGATAGGATTTCAGTCAGTAATTCTTCCAGTATGTAAATTCACTAGAAATATCACTATTGGGATGCCAGGGTCTAATAATTTGAAATGGAACTATCTAGTGAAAAGGTACGAGAATGGAATTGTTAAGATATTGATTTAATCATGTAATAACATGAAGCAGATAATTACATAAGATATATGCTTCCTAAGAAATTGGAAATTCGGCTAATCAGTTTACGTAATGTACTAAAACCACTAGGTCATTGGCTCGAACACCACAACCCACTTAGACAGATATGTGCAGCCAGGTGGTATCATTAAAAGCCTGAAAATGAGGGTGCCTAGCAAGTGATAGTCCCATTCATTTGGAGTTGAGCAACTGGTATCGAGAGTTCAACATAAGAAATAAGAAATTGTAATCTTGATGGAAGCCAGTTATCATTTATAAAAATCAACTTAGAATAGCTTTGAAATTCTTGATAAGTATTTAGATATCGCTTAGCATCCTTTCACTAATGATCACTAGAAATGTTCCTAGTCCACACTGTGTTGATGCTGACTGGATTCTGTCAGTGAATTTTGCAAAACGGTCAACAAGCTGGGTGACTTATCATCGTGGTGCAATTTGAACTGGTGTTAGATTAGTTAGACGCAGTTAGCAGGAAGCTCTGAAATTAAGTTGGCATTCATCCCCATCAAATCTATGAGGGGACATCAGTTCCTTCAAGTTTGTAAATACGCCTTGTTCATGAGTGCCAACAAGCACGAAACCGAGATCCAGAGCTACCTATCTATTGCTTCCAGTAACCTAACATCACTACTGTTCATTAATAGACTTATTGAATTGGAATATCCTTTCAATGAAATAATTTCAGATGTACTTTTAAATAGACTATTGGTGTCAATAGTGCTGAAGAATAGTGAATTCATTCACAGTAGTTGCTTTTTGTATGTTTAATATGTCGAAGTCTAATTAGATAACATTAGGAGAACTTTTCATCGTGTGCGTTTAAGTAGTAAAAAACGATTCGGTGTTTGAGAAACAAAAAGTCAGCCATATCTAGGGGCACATAGTATTTACTTCATACTTTCAGTGATATATCCCAGTGATACAGTAAAACAATTTGAAACAACACATTCACGGATTGATCAAATAAATAACTTATGCGTTAATAGAATAATAGCCTATACAATTAATAGTGCATCTCTTTTTAGATAACAGATGTGAATATGGCGTCGAACTCCGTTTACAACTGGAAATGGAGAGAATTATCCTTCCTTATTTGTCATAAGAAAAAGACGTAAACAGCGAAGAAGATAACATTGCGTTTTCATACGGATCTGTCCATTCTACACAATCTTATTGATTAATCATTATCTCACACTTATTACGTCATGCCATCTTCTGCCTCTTTTCTAACTTTCAGTTAGTCACTATATCTAGGTTACACCTTTCATTACGTAATGCACTTTTCAAGGACAAATTTTACCAGTATCTGATTGGTCTTGTGATTTCTTTGTTAAATATAATTACGATTGTACAGCTTATGAAAATAAATCGTCTTCGCTGTTTACGTCTTTTTCTTATGACTCAATACGGGAATATTTCGTTCCTTATTTGTCTTATCACAGTTCAAACATCTTTTTACAAATGGTCATCCTGTCGATTTCAATAAGTCTCATTACTCACTTATTAGTGTGACAACAAACAAATCGCTTCTTTAGGCATTTCACAAAGCCCTATCAGCCAGCACTTGACATTTCCCATTTCTCAAAAACCGTCATCTGGGTGATTCCTTATTGTATTAAAACCAAACAGATCTTTTTAGAACCTCATAAACAAACTACAGATCCATAGGATGTTACTTGATTCAAAGAAACTTAAATAAACAAAAACTGATACCCACTGTACAACAGGTATGTGGTTCTCATTGTCCAGTCCCCTAGGGGATAGCACTTTGACCTTTGAGACGATGAATAATGGTTTCCAATTCCACCTGCAACATCAGCACTCACTGAGAAAGGAAGTACATCTAAGTGACGAGTCACAGGTTGGGACCAATGAGTATCCTAGATTCCACTGCCAGCCACCATCAACCAAGTAATGTGATGTTAATCTCAAGGCATCGTTGAAACGTCCCTACTATCAGCCGACAAGTGAACAGAGACCGAGCATTTTGGCCCGATAAAATCAATCAAAGGGAAGATTCAAAGTAAGTTAAACAAACAAATTTTTTTGATATTCAAACAAAATTTATTTAATAACTTGAAGGTTTATGCATTAGATGACGATAAATAATCTTATTCTATTATTTTTATTAATTGAGAAATACAAACTTCGAAAATTAATGAATCATACTTTCCAAAACTCTAGTTAATCATAATGAATTCTGCACTAAATTGAAGATAGCTGAATCATATACCAAAACTGGTCAATTGTTATGCGTCGCATTAATACACACTTGGTGAAAACAACCTTATTTCTATCGTTTCTATGTTCCACATAACTAACACACTAATCAGAAGGTCTTCCTGCTCTCTGAATTCTACTGGTTTTTCACTTTAGTCTGGGCATCTTATTCATCATTCTTCTTAAGAAACTGAGTATCAAACTTTTTTAAATGCTTAATTATAGTGCACCGAACAGCATGATAATGTTTAATCAGGTTTGCTTTATTCTGATTGGTCTATTATTTTATACTACGCTTACGCGATTTTGTATGTCTTTGCATCTTCTGCATCCCTGAGTTGATTTATTGGAGTGATCTTTGAACTGATTCACTTTTGACCTTTGTCTTTAAAAATATCGATTTTTCTCTCTGCTTTTTATGATGTCTTTCTGCATGTTTGGTTTTTTTTTACTTGAAGGAATAGCATGACACTTATTAAATATAGCCTCGCTTCATTAATGATCCCTTATTTAATAGGGGAATCAGTAAGACCATTGCAATGAATGGAATTTCCACTATAAATTTTGTGTAACTCTTCTTATCTGGTTACTGAATAAGTTCCAGATTCGATCACGAGCTGATATCAGTTAGAGAACCACTGGAAAACCAGGGAGTACAGCTCGTGATCAAGCCTGTAACCAATCACATCTTTGCAAACTACTACTTGAAAATTAATCTGATGCTCACGGGTGACTGGCTCTATACAGGGAGTTACCTGGAGTTCTAGTAAGAAACCATAAACAGCGGCAACCACCGAGTCGGGTGCGAGAACAGTTACCCGACGATGATAATGGTTGGTGGTTGCGCTATACATCATGACTTCGCGGAACCTAAGATTTGTGGGCGTCCCAGTGGCTGAACAGTATGCAAGTTCGCCTTGTAATCGGAAGGTCCTGGGTTCGAATCCCGGGGGGTGAGTACTATTGAAGAGCTCTAAACCAGGTAGAAACAACCGTCTAGTAGTCCCTGGTTTTCCAGTAGCTCCCTAACTGATGTCAGCTCGTAATCAAACCAGTAATCAGTCAAATCTCTGCAAACCATTTCTACAAGTCTCGTTTGGAATTTTTCCGTTAATTTTTATTTTAGAATGTGAACTCGGTTTGACTACCCTTCCATTACAGAACATAGACAACGACAGCTCGCATAGTAAACCAACACTCTGAAAAGGAATACAACACTGTCGTACCCTAGTTTACTAGCTTCCAGCAATGCACGCATCATTTAACATTTTGCTGATCACTCACTACTAAATTACCCTTGAAAATCATGCACTATAATTCGAATTTTGAAAATATGGGAAAAGAGATGAATGAAAGACAAAAAAGGAATGAGGTGTATTCTTCAAATAAACAAAATCCCACTACACCTAACAAATACTAGAATTAAAAAAAAGAATGTTTAAAAGCAAAGTTTTCTGAGTACAAAAACAACTTCTCAAATAATTATTACTAAAATAGAATGATAAATAAATAAATCCTGAGTTGAAAATTAAATAAACATAAATAAGCATAAGATCAAGAGATCTTTTTTTTGATTTAAAAACGTATACCGGCAGTAAATTCATCAAATTTTACATAAGAATCTGGTGGTAATGGAATTTTTAGTTTATGATCAAAATAAACTGAAAGACGAGCTGCACCATAAGCTGCACTAGTTTTCAGTTGAACTAAAGTTAAAGTGCCAGACCATTTATCCTTTCCAGTAGGCTTTAGAAAATCACAGAAACCTAGGAAAAATAAAAACAATAAAATTATTATAGTAGACTAATTAATGCGACACATAGTGGTAAAACTGATAGATGAACGGATATAGACGATCATTATAATGGTGTTTTGTCATGATTGCACTCATATAAGATCATGTATTCCTATGCAATAACAAAATGGACAATACTCTAAGAGATAATGTCAGTCAACTGTTGACCCAAGGTGACTCAACGATTCGCTAAGTAACTAACGGAGATTGACGTTAACTATACTGAAGATCAGATGGCCGGAAAGAATCACCAACAAGAAACTATGGGAACAAACAAAACAAGAACCAATCGCCCAACAAATATGGAGGAAAAAGTGAAGATGGATTGGACACTCACTGAGGAGGCCGCTAGGTGACATCGCGCGTCAGGCCAGTGCTCGAGTGGAACCCGAAAGGGAAGTGGCGAGTGGGACGTCCAAGGGTGACATGGAGGAGATCGTGCGAAGAGGAATTGAAACTGTATGGATTAACATGGATGCAGGTGAAAAGTACAGCACAAGACAGAAGCAAGTGGGGACGTGTAGTTGAAGCCCTATGTTTCACTAGGAACCCAAGGGAACAATAATAATAATAATGTTAAATTCATTGAAATATTACGGTTTAGAGGTAATCGCCTTAGGAATGTTTATGAACGACAATGATATGACAGTATAATATCACTATTTTGACAATATATTAATGGCTTTTCAACACATAAATAATCATAATGTAACTTTTCGAATCATTAATAGGACAATAACATTTGATATGATCAACGTATGAACTTAAGATGTAGCGATTTAGCTATCAGCATTCACTAATCTGTAGAACAAAAGGTTCCAATCTCCTCTGCGTACACGAATCTATTTATTTACTCATGTTACCTTAGGATTAAACATACTGGTAAAGTAGATCGAATAACTTCAAACTTTGATTACTTGGAAATTTCTACATATTGTAGTTGATACCCAACCACATTTAACCCAATAAACCACTGATTTGATGACTGATAGAATTCAGCCTACGCTAAAGAAAGGACTAGACACATCACACTAATTATCATCATTATTGTTCCCTTGGGTTCCTAGTGGAACATAGGGCTTCAACTACACGTCCCCACTTGCTTCTGTCTTGTGCTGTACTTTTCACCTGCATCCATGTTAGTCCATGCTGTTTCAACTCTTCTTCACACGATCTCCTCCATGTCACCCTTGCACCGACGAACCACTCGCCGCTTCCCTTTCGGGTTCCACTCGAGCTATGGCCTGACGCGCAATGTCACCAAGTGGCCTCCTCAGCGAGTGTCCAATCCATCTCCACTTTCTCCTGCATATTTGTTGAGCGATTGGTTCTTGTTTCGTTTGTCCCCATAGTTTCTTGTTGGCGATTCTTTCCAGGCATCTGATTTTGAGTAAAGAACGAAGAAAGCTGCTGATAAAGGTCTGCAACCTGTTGAAAATATTCTTTGTGATCCGCCAAGTTTCTGGTCCGTACAACAAAACTGACTTAACGTTTGTATTGAAAATCCGAATTTTGTTGTTGATGCAGGCTGAGTGACGAAGATTTCCAGATTGGTTTCAGGTTGATGAATGTGTTTCTCGCCTTCGCGATTCTCGATTTGACATCCTCGTCTGTTCCTCCTGTGGTTGAGACAATGCTCCCTAGATAAGTGAATGAAGTAACCTCTTTCAAATCCCTCCCGTTGATGGTGATTGGCGCTGGATGTTGCTGCTGTTGTTGTTGTTGGTTGGTTATTTTCATAACCTCCGTCTTGCCTATGTTCACCTGCAGTCCTATCTTTGCTGCTTCTTCGACCAGTTTGTCGGTTTTCGCTTGTAAGTCTTCGATTTTGTGTGACATCAAACATAAATCATCCACGAAATCCAGGACACTAGTTACTAGTGTCCAATTAAACTATCTAATACAGTCAGTCCTACAGGAGGTCAATCGCGAGCCCAAATAGCTCAGTGGTAACGTCTCTAACTGCAGCACTGAGTGACGCGGGTTCGAATCTCAGAAGAGACATGAATCCCTTTAAGGTTCCAGATGCGCCCTGCTGACGAGTGCCAACTAGCACGAAACCTAGGTCCAGGGTTTCTTACCGATTGCCTCCAACCATCTAATACAATAAACTATGTTTATCGCTTGTTAATTTATAACAGAGATGAATTCTCTGGGAAATATTTCATCCACATTAAGCAAATGATGATTAGAGACAGATCATTAATTTAACATGAATGTAAGCTGCTTTAAAGCTTAACCATGAGGATATTTATGAATTTAGTAAAGATTTTCAAAAAAAAGTCAATCTGCAGGATCACCAGTCGTAGCTATAAGCCATAAAAAGGGAATTTTAGACTATCTGGTTAGAATCTAGATGATAAGAATCAATAATTGGTGATTCGAGAATTTTTCCACAATAATGTATTAACAGTATTCATTTCTGGTCGCCATCCAGATTCTAAAAAAGCTTCAATAGGATTTATATTTAATTATCTTCTGTCTGATACATCCTCGTCCATCGTGATTTGCTTACATTTCTTGTTTATTTGGTTTAGAAATGTGTCAAACTGAACTAATTTACTTTTGCGTAAAATTTTGTGTTATATCATCACGTAGTCAGTACCATTAATACAAAGAATTTTAAATCACGATGACGACGGTTTTTATTGAGTGTTTTCCAAAATCAAGCTTTGATATATAATCGTGAGCGTTTAGTTATCGAAATAAATGACTTCGTCAGCACTAAACTAATGAAGAATCTAGGTGTTTTCAAGCTACATGGGACCTTATCTAGAGTATTTACTGCTCTAAGACTCACTACAACATTATAAAAGCTATAAAAGGCATGAGAAAATCACTTTTACAGAATCCTTCGAATTAATGATTTTTCGATAAACTTTATTGAAAACAGCCTATCCATGGAACATAAATCTAAATAATCACTCTAACTAACAACGAATTGAACTGTCTTCCTGACTTTCTGAAAAGTTCTAACAATCTTTTGTTTACATACACATTCATACACTGCAGTATGATTATGTTACTCTTCCCTATTTTGTATGCATCTACGAAGTGTAAGAACCTTAACTGATGCAGTTCCTTGAGAAGTACAGAGTTTATTCTCCAGTAACCTAGTTACTGTGCACCTTCCCTTTAATTGGTTTTGTAACTGATATCGCGTTTTGATTAAATTTTCCCCAAAAAGGTAAGTAATTTCAACCATCTTGAAAGGTGTCTTCAAACCAGTGAGGCGTAAACTGCTTATTCCACGAATGCATTATTCACAATTGGACAAAAACAAAACCATGCAACTTTAACAATGAAAATATTAACTTGAGAGTAATACAGAATCAAGGATTAAAAATGGAGATTACCATCTCTGAATAGATCCCAACTCTTGAATGCTGAACCACAACAGATAACTGTCATATTTGCATTTTGTGGTGTTGAATCCTTAAGAGAAAAAAAAATAAAAGCATTTAGATGATTAAAGTTGAAAATATAAATAGGACGGTTAGTAAGGCGAGTGAAATCAAGGAGATCACAACAAAATTATTCACGAAAAAGTTATTTGTATTCAGTGTTAATGCCTTTAAAGTGAATTTAATCTTCGAGGAACCTCAGTATTTTATTTACTACTTTACTAGTCCAGGAGAAAGGTAAGAATAACAGTTATATGTGATTTAATTTGGTAGTTGTGAAAAGACAAAAACAGAGTGATAGCGGTTTATGCTATCACTACCTCCTTATCTATGCAATGCAACTTCGAAGACAGCAGGAAAATGGGCACTTAAAATCTGCAACAAAGTGCACCTGTTGACCTAAATCAAAGATGAAAGTGATATTGCTAAAACAAGTATGAAGCTTTTACAGTCTACCAGTGTGGTTAAATAAAGGTGTAGTGAGAAGCATCAATAGCACAATATTGAAACATCTGGTCCAAACCTGCCACAAAGCTAATATTGAAGAGTCCTTCTCCATCATCCATTGGGTACCAAACAAATTGCCAAAACATCCAGGTACCGCATACTCCAAACAGCAGAGGCTATTGCAATTCGCCTTTAACAACCGGTGCTCTGTTTGCAGGAGAGCCAAGTACAGCCACTACTAATGCCCTGACCTTCAGTAGTGACTATAAATTCATGAATTTGTATTATTATTTTTCTTAATTTTTCTGATATTCAGTATATTGTTATGTTGATGCTATCGAACTGTAATCCATTGATATTATTGTTGATTCAATGTTATTTAAACATTAATGTTGTCAATAACATTAAGTCATTCACTATTATGTATATATAACTGTAGAACCTGATGATGAAGTTATCGAAAAGAACATTCTTTGTTCAGTAACCATTCTTCTAATTCCTTTCAAAGAAGTTCTCCGTTAACAGAGTTACAAGTTGAAATTCTGTTGTTACATCTAACCCACCTAGATATTTCTTATCTGATTATATTACCAAGTACTGTGTCATCTTTTTTCATTGATTCTCATAATGAGCAGAACGCAGGGCTTCATGCTTGAGCTTTGAATTTTCATTAGCGGTATGAGGTGGCTAGCCTCACGCACAACATTCCTTGTTTTCCAGGCTTACTACTGGCTAAGCGAGGTTTAGGAGTATGTCAGCCGAACCTAGTGCATGGTTGACGAGCATTCTACCGCTGAGCTACCAACTCACGAACTAAAATGACTTCATGACCTCCATTATTACCTTTCTTACTTGTAAATATTCTATTATTTTATTCGTTTTTAACTCACCCTCCATTTTCTTCTATCATACAAATTAAATTGTTTTAATGGAGCAGTTTCAAACTAGCCATGAAATAAATCTGCCAAGACTGGGACTAGTGGAGAACCCATAGCAATAACATCGATCTGTCTGTAATAAACGTTGTCGATTGTGAAGTGTATATCCATAGTGCATCTTAGAAGCAGCTCTTTAGCCAACTGGACTCTTAAACAAATCTATTGAATTCCTTAAATAAACTACTATATTAGTACTACTTGCAAAAGTTTTCTGGTTAGAAAAAGAATAATGTTTTAGCATTGTAACAGCAGAAATACTTAAACCAATTGACTTTGATTAAAACATTTTCGAAATTACTGCTGGAATATTAAAAATCCTTGGTCTAGTTACCACTCATAAACTAACATAGTATCTTTACTCTAAAATATGCAAACCATAAGAGTCGAGATACACTCATTCATATCAATTCACGTGGACAACTGCGAATATCAGTTTAACTGTAACAGCGTAAAAGTTTTAGACAGAGGCTGTGGCTTACACAGAGAAACTTTCATAAAAATTTCATTTTTTTAAACACGCTGGGATTATTTAATTTAATTTATAATGTTCAAGTGTTGGTTTGTAGGGATTTGATTGATTTGTTACAGGATTTCATCATGAGCTGACATCGGTTAGAGAACCATTGGAAAACCTGGGAGTACTGGACAGCTGTTTCGTCCTAGTTTGGGACTCTTCGGCAGTACGTACTCACCGGGGTTCGAACCCAGGACCTTCTGGTTACAATGATTGAATCTGACTCGGCGCTCAAAATATCCCAGGAAATCTGTAGTATTTACCATCTGGATACTTAGAATTCCTATACGCCTAGTACTCGAATCATTTTATAATTAATGGATACGTGCATACAGATCAAATTTATCGATCAGTAGAAAATAGGTCATACGAGCAAAAGGTCAAAGAGAGGATGGAGATCAATAAAAGTGGACACAATCACACAGGAATCTACACGAACAACCAATCACAGCGAAGCTATTTCTAGGAAAGACAAATATTTCATTCATATAGAGAAAACACGACAGCACTACTCACAACTATGATGATATAAAAACTAAGAGATAATTTACCAAATGGATTGACAAAGTCTGCTACTAAAATGAAGTTTAGACTGCTAAACGACAACTAAATCACTTTATTTACGACTAATACAAGAGGAGCTGATCAGTTAATTTTATATAATCACATGAGCATTTCATTTCTACAATCAACTGACGTCAAAATAACACTCAACTACCAGTTGATTGAGTAGCACAGTTTAAGAAATGCACAAGTCATCTCTATAAATGGATCCACAGCATAAGCATCTTTTTTCTACAGTGTAATTCATGTAGAAATATCTGAAAGTACTCAAATGAAAATCGAATTCCAAATGAAAATTCACTTAAGAAAAGTGATCAAATATATAATTTTTTTTATTCCTTTACATTCCCAGTGGAACACAGGGCTTCAAGCTAGAGGCTTGAAGTTTCGGTAGCAGTGGTGTTTACTTTTACGGAATGGGGTTGCTAGCCTCATGCCCAACCTTCCTTCTTTACCAGTCTTATTACTGGCTTAGCGATGTGAAGGAGTGCGTCGACCTGGGACCGACCCCCGAACCACATGCATGGTCGGCGAGCATCCTACTGCTGTGCTACGGACGCATGACACGGTATGATAAGAAAACATAAAAACAAAGAATTCAGCGGGGAAAATTCTCTTTTCGATGATTTCATTTTCATAGCTGCAGAATCATACATATAAATATGAATTACAATGGACAATAACCATCAGTTTTTTGTGTGTATGCTAGAGTTTGACAGTGAGCGGAAATATAATATGGTTTATGTCATTAAAACGTTTGAGCATTGTGGAATAGATCAAATAAATTATAATTATATCTCAATAGTTTACACACAATGATAAGTTTTTGCTTTTGGTAATATTTCGAGCAACATTACTGCCCGTGATAACACCGACTGTTGGGATTGCTTTGTTTTTAATTCACACTTTTATAATTTCTACTCACATATATGGATCATTTGTTTTTGTTCATTAATTTTTGTGTATCCAGGTTGTTGACAGTTGTGCTGAGTCACCTTTGTTACATGTATCCGGCGTGACCTTAATTAATATTAGATTCTGTTATTAGTCTCTCTTTTCACTTGTTCATATTAGGTTTCAGAAAACAAACATTGTTCCAATCAATATTGTGGCGTTTGTCCCATTGTTGTGCAGCTATAGTGGGATTGTTTTCTAAATTGTCTGTCATAAGCTTATGTTCCTGTGGGATAACCTTTAGTTAGGCGTTCATTCTTATTTTGAATGATCTGGACGTTTCAATTCATGTATAATCCCCATCCAGGCATTAATCAAAACCAAAACTCGTAGATCTGGACGTTTGACCCATATTTTTAGTCGGACACTCGGTACAAGATATTTTGTAAACTGAATTATTTTTATCCATCATTTTTATTTATTTTATTTTTAATTAGATTCGTTGGTTTAAACATGGTGTGAATCCCAATATTTTCGAGTTTTTTTTCGAATTGTCTTTGATGTATCATTTTTGTATGGTATTGTGACCATTTTTTGCTATCCTCCTTCTTTTCATTCTTTGGTTTCACCCTCTCTTTTTTCTTCTTTATATTATTCCATTATGGATAAAGTTTTATTTTGATAAGTCACACAGTGTTACACAATAATATAAACTGAGTAACTTGATATGATTATGAGCAATAATTTGTACTCGAAACGTCATCAGTTAATATTAATTACTGTACAACACTGTGTGACTTATCAAAATAAAATCTTATCCATAATGGTGTTATACTCTACCACAGTGCCCAAGTTTTATTCTTTCTATTATCACTGACAAATTATTTTGGGTAATTGTTGTCGAATAACATTTTGAATAAGATGTTTATTTCTTTTCGTTGGTCATTTGTTGTTGTTGTAAGTCTAGGTATTCTGTCTGCAAGATCTTGTACTAACCCTCGTTTTACCGTGAGTGGATGAGCTGAGTGATAATTAATCAAGGAATCTCCCGGAATGTGTAGGTTTTCAAGAAACCGTCGTTTTTATGCTACCATCCGTTACTCTCTGTACTTTGCAGTCTAACATAGGCAGTTCTCCAATTTCATTCTGTATTTCCATAGTGAATTTTATTGAGTCCACATGCCTGTTTATGTGTGAGAAGAATTTTCAACATTCTTTTTCATTATTACTAACGTCATCTAAATATCTCCACCAACACTTGATTGATGACCTAAATGGTTTAAGCGTATTCTCTTCTCAAAAATCTATATGTCAGATATTATTGGTGAGATGGGTGATCCCATGGCTACTCCTTCATTTTGCTGGTATATTTTTCCTTTGAATGTAAAATATGTTGTTGTTGTTAGACAGAATTCAACCCTTTTTATTATCTCTTCTACGGATAATTGTGCCACATCTTTTAGGCCATCAACTTTTAGTTTCATTTTCAGTGCATCCATGGCCATTTGAATGGGTATTTCAGTATAGAAACTGTTTACATCAAAGCTGACTAGTATTTCCTCTTCGTCTATTTTAGTGGCTCTTAGTCGCCTCAATAATTCATATAAATCAACTATTCTAGTTTTTGAATTGTCTATTGTTGGTCTTAGTATTGTTGAGAGAATTCTTGACAGCATATAAGTTGGTGTGTTTCTGAAATCTACAATAGGTCTTATCCGATATCTTCCTCTATGGAACGGTGTTTGTTTTCTGAAACCTAATATGAACAAGTGAAAAGAGAGACTAATAACAGAATCTAATATTAATTAAGGTCACGCCGGATACATGTAACAAAGGTGACTCAGCACAACTGTCAACAACCTGGATACACAAAAACTAATGGACAAAAACAAATGATCCATATATGTGAGTAGAAATTATAAAAGTGTGAATTAAAAAACAAAAACAATCCTAACAGTTGGTGTTATCACGGGCAGTAATGTTGCTCGAAATATTACCAAAAGCAAAAACTTATCATTGTGTGTAAACTATTGAGATATAATTATAATTTATTTAATAATATTGGTGTACAGGATGGAGTCAAAATTGATTAGACATATGAAGGAATAACTGACTAAATAAATAGAGATCAAACTGAAGTTCAATAGACATGTGTGAAATGGATGGTGGGAAAATAAAGTACATTCGAGAATGTGAATATGTGAATGATGGAGATATAGAATAAAATGTTAGAATATGATAACATAAAGTAAAATAAAACAAAAACGGAACATGGAGTAAAGAAGGATAACGAAGTTTTCATGTGAATTATGTAGTAAAATCAAGACCATAGTAACGAAAGAGATCGTACAAATTGTTTTTGTACACAAAGTTCTGGTTTTATGTTATGTAATGCCAAAGCCTGTGATATACAAAGTAAATGCACTCGTGTCCCTGTCAGAAAACCTTGTAGGCTATATTAAACGATGTGTCAGATGCTGCGTCATGGTCAGTGTCTACAATATGTTGCAATATCGATAAATTAATACCTCTACGCTCTCTTTTGCTTAGCCAAGCTGGGAGGTGTTGTGGAACGCGGTGGGATATATTTCTCAACGAAATTCCTATATACCTAATTCTGCAAGAGCAGGTGAACATATAAAATACACATGGAATTAGACAATCGAGGCAACATTTCCTTGACATTAAGGTGCACCAATGGACGGCTAGAGTAGGTTATTCTAAAAGTGGCAGCAACGAACGTTTTTCTCAATGATCTCGTCGGATGATTTTTAAGTACCCCACTCGCAGTGTCACCCCTAAATTCTAAGTTTAGATGCAATATGTTTTTAGTTACCTTGTCAGTCTATATATTTCTTCCACTTAATTTGGTATTGGCCTCAAAGAAGCGTAGTGGATACCCGTTCTCTATGAAGGTTTCTTCCAATTGTTTGAGTTCATCATCAACACTGTCTTCACTACAAGTTCTCCCAACCCGTGTCGAGAGAGAACGAATCAGATTTCTTTTTCTGTCTATAGGGACAAAACTGTGAAAATTGGTCAGTTGTCCTGTCCACATCGATTGTCTGTAAACAGACCTTCTCTAAGACCCATCAGCTCTCCTTATGAGTAGCTCATTAAGGAAAGATATTTTCCCCTCAGTTTCTTTTTCCAAGGTGAACCGGATATCAGGATGACTATCATTGAATAGTTTCAGGATGTCATGCAACTCGCAGTTTAATTAGATAAGAAAACAACAAAATCAATTACCTGAACGGCATAATATAAAGCGCCTCTAACATGACGGGCTAACTGTATACCTGCCTCACGAAAAACAGATTTAGAAAACTCATCACCATCCCGAGCAACTGAAAGAAAAAAAAAGTCGTATGGTCACAAGAGATTACTAAGTAAGGAAAACTTATCATCATGAAACAAAATTAAAAAAAGCTTCGTCATAAGATAAATATAGTACACAATAACGATACACGCATAAGTAGTAGAATGGCAAGAAAATCTACTCAGTATGCCTTATTGACAGGTTTTGCATATTTCTTGAATTTTTTGACAGAGAATTCACAGAGTGACTTAAATCATGAGATAAACTATAATATGAAATGTGTTATTGTCTTATCGATACAAAGTTGCAAACACGCAAATACAGTATTGAATTACGAGTGTGCCTAACATGCTGCAACAGTCGTTTGAATACAGTTAGTGAAAAATCCCTATCGACCAAAGGGCGTGTGTACTGCTCATCAGTCCGCTCCATCCTCCTATATGGCTGTGAGACCTGGCCATTGAGAGTAGAGGATATGAAAAGGCTAGCTAGCTTTCTTTGATCATAGATGCCTGCGTCCTATCTCCCATATGAAGTGGTATAATAGGGTCAGCAATATTTAGGTTAGGCGTCGAGTGCTAGGTAAGGAGGGGAAATCAATAGACGAGGTTGTGAAGCAGTTACATCGACTAAGATGGTTAGGACATGTGTTACGCATACATGCCTACCCATCACCTTCCTCGACGGGCAATGTAAGCTGACATAGGATCAGGCTGGAAAAGAGCCAGTGGTAGTTAAAACAAAATATGGCATCGATCAATGAAATCCACGTAGGCCACGTAGGAAGGTGTAGACTTCCTGGTTAGGGTCCTTGGGTTAGAAAAAAACCAATGACTGGAGACAACTGGTGATGTGACTGGAAATCATCCTCAATGGCGCAGCTGCATCCACTACTTGAGACTTATAATATTCAATAAAACTACATTGTTCTTTGGTATTACCATCCTTTTTGCCTCATTTTTCTGTTTACTGTCTCTATTTTTCATTTCTTTTTACTATCTTCTCTTGCTTTGTGTGCTACATGGAGTGTGGTGACTCGAACTGCTGCACATCAGTGCAAAGTTCAGTGTTGAAACCGGTCAGTCAGAAAAATCCCTACTTGTCAATAAACCCAATTTGAAGGCGCAGTTAACCACCTATGATAGATCAAACAAAAACACACTCGTGTAGATTCCTTGAAGATAAACAATCTCAGTTCATTTTGCACTCAGTTAACCAGAACAAATTTCCCAAGTACCAGGCTATGAGCAACACTTATTATGTAAGGGCTGATGCAACTGCCAGGCTGCTCAGTCTGAAAGAGGTAAAGTAGGATTCGAACCCCTGGGTCATTGACTGAAAGCTGAGACCTTATACGAATCAGCCACACACACACATAGTCTAATACAAATCAAAGCGTAAAATGACTTGAAAAAACAAGCGACAAGGTACCCTGAACTATAGAGCTAAGTGAAGTAAATTCGAGTTCAGAACAGGAATAAGGGCCTTACTGAAAATGTAGATATGATTAACTAATAAGTGCAATAACGCTTTCTGTCGATCAATATGTAATATCCCTTACAGTAAGAAAGAGATCAATTTCTTTGTTACTTAAAGCGTTATATAGATACGTAAATTCATCAAATACTGGCGCGTCGGTTTAACTTTCTATATACAGAGTTTACCTGATAAGAATTATTTAATAATCATCTGTAAAAAATAAAAATAAATGACTAAGTAGAAGTCATGTGTTATACACAAAACAAATATTAAGTTACTCACTTATAGAAAGATGTTCACACAATCCAGCTATTTTATTTTTACTGAAGTTTGTATAAAAATGTTGAAGTAAGTCTAGATTATTTTCTATGCTGAAATATGAATAGACCACTTTTCGTACATTTTCCATGTTATACTCAGTATCAATAATTTTGTCATCTGATTCAATAAGTGCTTTTACTGCATAATGTGCAATCCAGTAGGCTAAAATGGGAGAAAAAAAGTAATAATAATATTGAGAAAATGGAGCATTTGCTTTATTTGCACTCTGTGTATAATAACACACTAGATACGAAAAGCAAAATGTTTCCAAAGGCTTACAAAGCCATTAAAGAGGAGTCATATGGACGAAAGGTCAAATATCAGGTCAATCGATGAAAGTGAATATGAGAGTGAAAATCAATTTCGTTGAAGGTCATTGGCAAGGGCAGTCACTACGCTCACAGACAAATCTAAAAACTCATTTCTGATTGAAGTTAGTGCCAAATATTTAGTTTGGAAGGACGATGAAAGTTTGACAATTAAACAATCTAGCTCATTCACGTGAGCTAAAAATCACCATCATGTCTAAACTATTTCAAAGACCAGTATTATAATGATAATAAACACTGTCTTTAATGTGAATAATTCGTCTGTAAACTACAATCAACTGCTTTAAATGAGTGCAGTGAATACTTACATAAAATTTGGGTGCGTGAAAATCCCCTGACTTTCGAATAAGACAACAGTAAAGCTGTGGTTCACTGGTCTAAGCGCTTGACTTCCATATTTAATAAAGAAGCATAGTTGTCATAGTAACCGATTGTGATAACTGATGCCACTAATTATTTATTCCCAAATCTAGAGGTAAATTCACTAATTCTGCAATACACGACAATGTTTACACATTTGAGAGGGTGGACAATATTCAAGAATATAGGGTAGAACTAAAAAAAACTTAGCGTTTAGATTCTCAATACACAATTGTTTTACTAGACTATTCTTTGCACAGGCGCCTAATACATATACTGCACACTACTGATCACCTAGACATCAAAGTGGACTACACATTCTTCCGGATGCTTTAACATCGCAATTTATATTCACTAATATGTTAGATACGTCAATTTAGTTGACAATCAATAAGACAAAACGGTACTGAGAAATATCTCCATTAGCAGCACACTGTGTAAAATACAATTCTGGAACAACGGGATTCGAATCTTGACGTGACTTGAGTTACCATCTTACTTTTGATCCCCAGCATCCATTACGTTAGTAGAAATCTGTCAAACTACGACAATCTAAGATAGTCTTGACGAAAACAGCAATAATGCAAAATACTACGGCAATGCTATGAATTCTGTTTACGACTCTAGATGGCAATTTATAACAAGAGAAAACAACTTTTTGGTTGATGACTAATCAGCCTAAACAATCGATATGTAAGGTAATTTAAAATTAGTAGCTAACTAAACAAAAACTATGATGTGAGAAGAGAGAGAAAAAAGAAGTTTGTTTTTATAGCAGACTATCAATTCCATAAATATAAACAGTTTAAATGTGTACATATATGAAAGAACAGTATGATCACACGTAACTACCTTTCGGTCAAATTAATACAAGGCATGAAGGAATAGAAAACCAATTAAAATTAGTAAAGTAATATAATAATTAGGAATTTCCAAGGTAAGTGGTTAAATGTAAGCACGAATCATTGCTTTATATACAAAGGGAGCTTATATCTGCGAATTTCTCCCCCAAGATAATAATAATAATAGTAACAATAACACTAATAAAATATTTGAATGACGATGAAATTTACCAGAACCATTGTCCCCAAGTATATGTCCATATCCTCCAACCCGTTGAAAAGTTAAATCCGATCTTATGTAATTACATATTGAACCAGTTCCGCACACTAATACAATAGCAGCTAGAAAAGTAACAAATTTAAAATTATACTATTTTTTTTGTTTCTTTTTAGCCAAAGGGATGTCAACTAATACAAGAAATGGGAGCAAAGGTATATCGAAGTGTCAAATAATTCCCCTCTGTAAAAGTCAGATAATTATTGCAAAGACACCACTTTTGCTCTCCATAAATTAATTTCCGTTATAGCATTTTCTAAAGTTTCTGTGAAGGTTTATCAATATGCAAAAATGTTTTTGTTTGAAATCAGGACTTGGAACAGGTCTTTCATATCCCAATCTATCAGTTACATTTATTTCATGGGGGCTAATGATAATTTTGCAGTTATAGAAAAGAAAAGGCGTTCAGCAAAGAGTTACTCTTTTCGGCGATATCATTCTCAAGCTGTACAAACCGCAAATTTATAGTAATTTTTCTTGCCAACAAAAGGAATATTTCCAAAGATGCAATTGTTGATTTTTGACAACAAATTACGTAATTTAGAAGGCGTTAATCGGTTAGAAACTAAAATAAAGTTACAAAAGTAGGTTGGGTGACGTAATCTAATTGTTAGGGTTCAATGAAAAATGAATGAGAGTCAAGTTAATAATCTGAGTAGAATTCACTTGAAAATGGATGAGAGTTAAGTTGATAAGCTGAGTAGAATTCACTTAAAAATAAACGAAAATGGAGTTAGCAACAGTCGTCATGAGGGTAGAGATTTAATAGAGGGTGGGGGTAGAAAATAATGCAATTAAGAAACAGACAAACAAAGAAGAAAGAGGTAAGACAAAATTACGTATTTGGTGTTGAGATAGATCAGGACCATTGTAGATTTAGTGACTGAACAAACTTCTTTTGTATGGTTTCAGCGATTCGAAGGTTTCAGGATCGATGAATGATTCAGTCTTTAGTTTTCGATCCTGAAACCTTCGAATCGCTGAAACCATCGGGCTCAAATATACCCCGGCTATATGGACTACCAAAAGTGCACAAGAAAGACGTACCTCTCCGACCCATTCTCGATATGACTAATTCACCTTATCACAGTACCGCACAATGGCTAGTAGACATACTAGAACCAGTCAGAAAGCAAATCTCCCGCCACTCACTTCGAGACTCCTTCGATTTCGTCGATTCCATTGAAAACGTCAGCGTTTCCAATCAAATCATGTTCTCACTAGATGTAGTATCACTGTTTACAAACGTCCCACTAACCGAAACAATATGCTTTATATGTGAATATATTGATTCAAAGGAGATGAACATTGGTATACCCACGGACTATTTGAAGGAACTCCTATTAAGATGTACTCTAAACGTCCAATTCACTTTCAATAATGAAATATATAGACAAAAAGATGGTATAGCTATGGGCTCACCACTCGGCCCGCTGCTTGCAGATATTTTCATGTCAAAACTAGAAAATACACACCTAAAGAAGACAATAGATAACTTCGGGTTCTACAAGAGATACGTGGACGATACTTTTATTATCGCCAATAATGAAGAAAATTTGGAGAACATATTGGACTTCTTCAACAGTTGCCATCCAGCAATCCAGTTCACACTAGAGAAGGAGTCCAACGCAACAATATCTTTTCTGGACGTGCAACTAGCAAGACGTGAACAAGATGGGACACTCAAAAGATCCATTCACAGAAAACCGACATGGAATGGACAACTCATCAGCTTTTACAGTTGGGTGCCTCTATATACAAAACGAAATCTAATCCGCTCACTGACTCACAGAATCCACAACATTTGCAGTCCGGAAACCATAGAAGAGGAGCTGAAGACCCTGAAAAGAATCCTCCTTGAAAACGGTTACCCGGAACGTTTCATCACAAAAGCCATGAAGCCCAAAACACAAAAGCCGTCCATGCTTACTGCTCCCAAGAAACTTCTCTATTTGAATCTACAATTCAACGGAGATTCTTCAGCAGAAATACTGAGAAACCGCCTGTGCCGCTCACTGAAGAAAACCTTCTTCGCAGCTGAACTCAGACTAACTTTCTCTACGAAACCAATGATTCGCACGAACGTGAAGGACAAGCTTCCACTGGGGGCCTCATCAATGTGCATCTACCAATTCACCTGCTCATGTGGAGCTAGGTATATCGGCCGTACCCAGCGTTTGCTATCCAAACGAATCAGCGAACACTTACCTTCATGGTTTTATAAAGGAGAAAGAAGATCCCCCCGCCACAGCTCTATCCTAGAACACTTGATCGAATCCGGACACCAAGCAAACCCACAAAACAACTTCTCAGTTATCTACACAATACGTGGGAATCTTGCCAAAAGAGTACGAATTAAACTTCTTCAAACTGCAGAAGCAATGGCAATTCACATATTGAATCCTGAACTCTGCATACAAAAGAAGTTTGTTCAGTCACTAAATCTACAATGGTCCTGATCTATCTCAACACCAAATACGTAATTTTGTCTTACCTCTTTCTTCTTTGTTTGTCTGTTTCTTAATTGCATTATTTTCTACCCCCACCCTCTATTAAATCTCTACCCTCATGACGACTGTTGCTAACTCCATTTTCGTTTATTTTTAAGTGAATTCTACTCAGCTTATCAACTTAACTCTCATCCATTTTCAAGTGAATTCTACTCAGATTATTAACTTGACTCTCATTCATTTTTCATTGAACCCTAGCAATTAGATTACGTCACCCAACCTACTTTTGTAACTTTATTTTAGTTTCTAACCGATTAACGCCTTCTAAATTACGTAATTTGTTGTCAAAAATTAACAATTGCATTACACATCTTTGGAAATATTCCTTTTGTTGCCAAGAAAAATTACTATAAATTTGCGGTTTGTACAGCTTGAGAATGATATCGCCGAAAAGAGTAACTCTTTGCTGAACGCCTTTTCTTTTCTATGACTGAATGGGAATTTTCAAATTTTGCAGTTGCCCAGACTGAAGTAGGCTGAGCGGGATTCGAACCCTGGACCAACTAGCTGGAAGTCAAATGCTTAAGCCAATGAATGAGCAACGTCTTCGCTGATTTCTAACAGTTGTGATAAATTATAATATATTCTTATTTTTTGTAGATGAGGGACGCTAGTTTACAGGTATCATCAATATGATAAATAACCTATACAAGGAGTAAGAATATTTACAATCATCCACTTACACAAGATATATATAAGAAAAGGTAATGTGGTAACACCTATAAGATCACTTTACACAGGCGTAAGCAATGTACACAGTATAATACAAAGCCAGCGCCATTGAAGAAATTTAACCAAAATGCGCGTCATATTTGAGGATTGAGTTACTGGTGATGGGTGTGGTAGATTATTCATAAGGTGATAAAATTGTTTTTTAAAACGTCAGTTAGTTCACCGATATTAACGCTTTTTAGTAATATTAACTGCCAGTGACTCACCACAGCAGTAAGTGTTTTTTTAAAAAAAGCACATAACCCTATTGAATATTGATTGTTGACTTATAAAGAGCTGTTTATATAACCTAGGTTTAGTTTAAAAAAAGAAGCTTTTGTTCACATACTGAAAATCTAAGTGTTTTAAAATATTCAATATTACAGTTCGAAACGAATGAATGTCTGCCTGTTTTCGACATAGAACTTTTCACATATGTGCCGCAGTTCAAGTAGCCACACTCCATGTAGCACACAAACCAAGAGAAGAAAGTAGGAGAAATGCAAAATAGAGACAGTAAACAGAAGTGTGAGACAAAAGGAATAGTAATAACGAAGAACAAAACAGTTTCATTGGAAACCATAAGTCACAAGGAGTGGATGCATCTGCGACAGCCATTGAGAACGATTTCGAGCCATGTCACCGATTGTTTCCAACCATTGGTTTTTACCGTCCCGAGGACCCCAACCAGGAAGTCTACACCTTCCTACGTGGCTGACTTAAACTAACTGTTGTGGATTTCATTGACTGGTGCCATGTTTTCGTTTTACCACCGCTAGCTCTTTTCCAGCCTGACCCTATATCAGTTAACATTGCCCGTCGGGCGAGGAAGGCGATGACTAGGCATACGTAACACATGTCCCAACCATCTCAGTCGATGTAATTTCACAGTCTCGTCGACTGATTACCCCTCCTTACGCAGCACTCGACGCCTAACCTCAGTATTGCCCACCTTATTCTACCACCTCACACGGGATATAGAAAGCAGGCACCTATGATCAAAGACAGCTAATCTTTTCATGTCTTCCACTCTCAATGGCCAGGTCTCACAACCATAAAGGACGATAGAGCGGACTGATGAGCACTACACACGCCCTTTGGTCGATAGTCGGACATCACATCTACGCAGAGACGACGTAAACTGGCATATGCGAAACTAGCCCTCTGTATTCGTGCTGAGATTTCAGAAGAGACCAACTTACTTGGGAAGTACCATCAGCCCCCCCCCCAGAAATGAATATTCAGAATTACTAGTTTTATAGAAATTTACTCTTTATTTGGATGAATGTAGAGCATCTTTATTCTAACTCCTCGGTTGTATTCTCTTATTTCAATTCCCAAATTGCCTTCTCAAAACATACATTTGTGTTGACTAGCATAAAAAAAGACATGAAACTGTAGCTAAAAGTGTTGATATAGTCTAACAAACAGACCGTGGTTTTTTAAAAAAATTATCAAATGGTATGTATTAAGATAGTGATGAACACACTACATGCAACATAAATGATTGTACTGATGCCAAAGTAATGATATAACTCAGTTGGGATATCATCTAACATTTGCAGTTATAATTTAAATCTTTTAAAGATCACTGAACTACATGACTCTTACGTAACTTATGCAAGATTAGGTGCCTGATATGTACAGACTGATAATCATGCATATATTATTGATTGCCCTAAACTAGCTATCATCACGATATGATAACAAATTCATGAAGTCTACTGTTTTATGAGGGAATAACTTTACCAATCATTTTTGAAACACTCTTCCACAAATATCTTTGGCGATTTCATTGTCATTACAGTTTTATTTGTATTTCCTGAAATATTGTGACGAAAACTACTGCCTTATTTTTGCACAGTGTTACGTTGATTTGCCTACCTGTCTATATGATAAGACGCTGCTCGTCTACACTTTGTCGTAAATAAAAAGAAAGCCTTGAATAAGGGTTGTTTTGTCCTCGGATGCAATTAACCGGCTGGCATTAGTATATTTAGGATAACGAATATGCTAACTAGTACGCCATCATCAACTTGATATGATTATGAGCAATAGTTTGTGCTCGAAACGTCATCAGTTAATATTACTGTACAACACTGTATGATTTATCAAAATAAAATCCTATCCATAATGGAGTTATGCTCTACCACAGTGCCCAAGTTTTATACTTATATCAACTTACACAATAATCATTTTTCTAAAGAAATTATTAGCGAATTAATGTTAATATTATTACTAGAAACCAGCTACTGTCATATGTTTCCCAATTTGAGAAAATTGAATTCATGATTTCCATTAAAAACTATTATGTTCACACTGATCAGTCGTCGCTAGTCCTTGATGTTTCTGCTGACTAAAGTTCTGCTAGTCTAGTTTACAGTGTGGTAACTGAGCTAAGTGATTCGGTGTTTCAGAGGTTGGAGACCATCAGCAATAATCGCTGGACCTAGGTATCATGCTTGCTGACAAATGTCAGGAAGGCATATCTGTAACCTTGTGAAAATTGACTTTCCGTGTGACATTTCGTCCTGTTGACTGCCTCCAGCCACCTAAAACTAATTCAGAAGTGCGCTGAAATGGCTTTCTGTCAGAGATTTGTGAACATATTGCAAGCTTGCCTCTTAGAATTCAGTCAAATTCATCACCACCAAGAACTACATATTCTCCAGTCACTTTATCCTTAATAGTCCTGGAGGCAGTCAGTTATAAGGTCTCTGACTGTTAGACTACTTGACGCGGGTTCGAATCCCAGAGAGGACATCAGTCCTTTTAGAGTGGAAGAGACGCCTTGACAACGAGAGCCAACAAACCTATGTACAGGGCTTCCTACTGATTGCCACCAACCATGCAGCATTGTGATGTTCGTTTAGATACATTTAATATTTTCACAACCTTGGATCAACTGCCAGTCGCTTATATTTCGTGAATTCTTCATAAAGTTGATTCATACACAGTCTCCATCAACAGAGTCATTCGTCAGAAATAGTCAGGTGAATTGGGAACAGTATACTGCTATTTTCTCCTCTTCAAGATAGACTAATTTGGAATGCTTCAGAATCGAAACAAAAACACATTAAAGTAGAAAGCGCATAGAGGACACTCAAGTATGAAAAGGGTGTTGCATAGATTTAAAGCTTGTGGCGACAAACAACGTCCCCAGACACCCAGAAATTGAAGTCTACAACATCTGCTGTTTGATTAAACCGTACTTTATGCAAAATTCTCAATCACATTGAAAGTAGTCCTAGAATTCCGAGGCATAAAGTGTATATAAATATTTTAGCTAACACACACATAAATAAACAAACACAAACAATGTCATATATAACACTGAATTAAATTACATCAGAAGTGTCAGCTTTTCGAATATCACGAATTTCCTTTGGAAATAATTACAATATAACAGTCACTTTATATATATATATATATATATATATATATATATATATATATAACTAGGAGTAAATGTATTTTTAGGACAGTGTTTGGGTTAGTTAAATACAGCACATTACATTCCACTGGTTATTGACATTACCGCTGAGTCGATATGTTTTGCATAATATGAAGAAAAACAAAGAATACAGTACAACCTTTATAATCGATTACAGCTAATATGCAAAAAAGAGTGGGAAAAATATGTAACTACTGAACAGTAAACATAATGTAAACAAGAAGCAATAGCTGGTAGTTCTAAAACTGTTCGAAACACAAAGTACCATAAACTATCTACCTAATGGATTCCTATTTTCTAACAAAGTTTTTTTTTATTTAGTATTCAAGTAGTAAATTTGTTTACCTGACAAGCAGTTTTCCCTTATGATATTCACTGCATTCATCTTGCAATACAACAGGCCACTTGGTTATGGCTGTTGAGCGGGAATTCATTTAATATACGATTAAAAATTGCATACACTAAATCTTCCGCAGCACACATGGATATTCATACATACTAACTTTTGGATTGCCTCGAACAGCTCATCGTGAAAAGGGAGTGGGGAAACAGACTCTTACTGCGTATAACCATTATTATTGTCTCCGTTAGTTCCTGGAGGAACTTAGCACCTCAGCTGCATGTCTCCGTTGCGTTCAGTTCCCCACCAACGTTTTCACCTGGCTCCATGTCTGCCCACATGCATAACCATACTCACAGATAATGGTCACGAACTGATTACATCTAATGTGAGCAACCTTGTGTAATTAAACGACAGTGTCCGCATATCTATGGTTGAAGAGTGTTTGTTGCGAGCACCAGGATGCTGGTATAAGTGAAGTGCAGTAATCAGCGTCTATTATTAAACCTAGTTTCTGCCCACTCAGACGTCGGTTTTATCAAGCATAGATAAATTTCTGTACCACCTCAACTATCAATGTAAGGAACTTATGAAAACCAGTGTAACTCAAGCAGGGTAGGAAGGGCAAAGGAACGTTAAGACGTTGAAAGGAGCAATAAAACAACAAGTTACCGTAGTCTCAATATTTATGTTACACTATGTTCTTTCAAAAGTTCAGAGGGATCAGTATTTGACTTGGTGTCTAAATTAGTTTAGTACAAAATTACAATGTCAGACGAAACGGAAATAGTTGAGGATTTTTTATTAAATTTCTTCTAACATGAGGCTTATCAGCTCCTGAAAAGTGAACAAACGGATAGACGCTACTGGATTTGCTTCCCTATTCGTTCCCCAAAACGTTTTACTAATTGCAAAGCTGCTTATTTTGTCGGACACATAAACTGGGAAAAACTTGAAATGTATGTTAAGTAGTTTAGTTGCCGGTAAACCAAAATGATTTCCATAAAGTCAATCTTGAAAGTGTTCAAAGCCGATACAATAAAAGAATAAATACATGAATGCACCACGGACAATCTCCCATTACTAACTATCAACATTTGAAGGACACTAGACAAGCGGTTTATATACATATTTCTGCAGATATGTTGTGTAATCAATAATGTGAATCACCCAGGCACTTAATACGTTAATCTTCTCACCCTATGGGAGGTAAAAGGCTAATCTCGCACTTAAATCGATTTAATGAGAATACGTCTAAAAACTATTGTCCAAAATTACAGCAGTTCAATAAATTACTAAATAAAATTTAACAAACTGACTAAAATAATAGTAAAGTTAGCTTGAAGTGTAGACGAAATAGTGCCTGTTGAAAAAAATATAAAGTTTATATTCAAAGAACACATCAAAAGTACTAATCACCCATAAACAAAGCTACTAATGGAATGGGAATCACACAGGAAATAAGCAAAATAGACTGATAAACTGGAACCCCTAATGTCAAAAATAAGCAACTCTTGATTTGTTGCCTTGAAAAGAGACAGTCCATCTGATAAGACATTATGGTGAAAAAAGTACTACAAGAACCGGTGTCAACACGGTCGCACTAGTACCATCAGATCTGCCGTTCGATAGAAATGATGTTTATGTTACTAAATTTATTTACAAACTTGAATATAAGTAATTTTCACCAAACAACAAATGAATGACCTAAGGGAAGAACTTCTATGCGATGTACTGAACTTGATGTGAAGATTTTATACATAAAGTAAGGTAGGCTTCTTACCAATGTAACAGCTAGATACTCAATGATACAGGTATTAGAAATTATTTTAACAGCTTTTGAAATAATGAACACGAGAATTCTACGTTTAGAAAACAGAAAGATTGAGCGAAGAAATATTTACTTTTCAATTAGATCCTCATCTCTGGCTATACTGTAATAAATATAGCATTTTTATTACAATACACAAGTTTACCAAACGAGTGGCGATAAGTTTGTTAACAATAATTAAACAGTGTCAAAATGTCAATGGGTTGGTAATTAACGAAGAAAATCAATACAGACAGTTGAAGCAATCGGAATTCACCTGAAGAAACCAAGCCTATGTGTTCAGAAAAAATTTGTACAGCCACTTTCCTAACCGTGGCCATCGTTACAAGAATGCATAAACAGGACTACTTCGCCCCCCTCCCCCTAAACCTTTAAAAACTATAAAAATTATAATTGTCCAAATTATTTTGTTTTATTTATTTTGACCACTTCATCTTTAATTACGTGTTATCCTTGTAAAATTAATTTATTCTAACCTTTTCTACCTTTTAAATGTGTATTGATTTTTTTCGTTAATTATCAACCCATTGACATTTTGACACTGTTTAATTATTGTTAACAAACATATCACCACTTGTTTGGTAAACTGTTGTGTATTGTAATAAAAATGCTATATATATATATATATATATATATATATATATATATATATATATATATATATTAGAGTAGAGCCAGAGATGAGGATCTAATTGAAAAGTAAATATTTCTTCGCTCAATCTTTCTTTTTTCTAAATGTCTAAATGGGGATTTTTTCTATATTGAATTCTACGTTTACTTGGTTCCTAAAGACCCTACTTTCATAATTTTTTCTTGGACAGGCTTATGATCACTGTGAGAAAGAAAACGGTAAATATGTAAGTTATTAGGCAGGGACATTCAGATACTAGTCATAATCCGTATTCATCACTGCTTTTTGATTTTAATTAATTGGGTTAACAGTAACATCACAGTGATAGCCTTTTCTAGATCAAAAGACGTAGACTTGGGATCTAGGCCTGACAACTAAAGTCATATGAATATAGGCCTGATATTAATAAGAAGAGTGAACTTACCACTCTCACATACTGTTAGATATGTACCAATACTATCATTGCAAGCGTGTATTTCTTGTGCAACATTTGGACGAAGAGTTTTGATAGCATTTGCCAATTCATTTTGATTTTCTTTAGTATCAATACCACTCAACGATAAACCCTGCGAAGATGATTGCAGATAATTCAGTAAAAATTTTCATAGTATCAAATATTTAAAAAAATATTTTCCTGATCTTCCTGAAATCTGACTGATTTGTGTTCCTAGAATAAGCAAATCCTACTGAATATTGCTTCATGTATATCAAACAGAAAACTGATCAGGGTATTTATGTGTTGTTTAATGACCTCTTTTATTACCTTTGGTTCACACAATCTGTTGTCTGTAGAATAGTTGACCTTTTGAATTATCTAGGTTATATTTTTTTCGTACATGATAATTTATTAACCGAAAAAGGGTTCATAACATATGTATGCACTCGATCTGTAATGTGACATCCGTTCACTTGGAGCTTGTCTGCATGTGAGCAGCCATTATCTAGTCAAACTATAATTTAGTACGATGAACAATTCACCTAGTTCAGTTTTATTGATCAAATAGTTTGTGATAAGAATCATAGTAGTAAAACAATTCCAAGGGTTTGAATAAGCCAAATTTCGCGAGATGGTATCGTCATTTCGCAGTTTCTTTACAACTAACATGGTTCACAATGATAATAAAATAAAACGCATGACAATTACTCAGTCATGTGAAACAAAAATACATACTAATGACCAATCATATTTAAATAGGTCAAGCAGGCCATGATAAGCGAAGATTGAAGTCTATTGTTTTCTGTACACATAGTTTAGGATGTGTGTGATTAATCCAAAGTGCTTCCATCACCTTCAATAACCTTGACTTAGAGTTATGTGAAATAATTGTGAAACAGTCATTAATACTGCAATGGATGATGCTGAATTTCTATTCAGATTAATGACATTGTGATTTTCTATATGATTTAGTAACCATTTTCGAACATGTTCTTTTCGGCGACATTCGGTCATTCTATTGGTTCTACCTATATAGGTGTCACCGCAACTGCAGGTGAACTTGCAGATACAGCTTGAAGTAGAGTTAACAGAATTTCGTCCTTCAATCGTAAGTATAGGGATCGAAAATGTTCGAGATGAGAGGGAAAGAGATGCAGCGTAAAATGTGTGCTTGATGGCTAACCGAAGTCTTTGAGCTGTCCACTGCATAATTTGATCACCCTTGAATGGTAGGTTAACAAAAATAGCTTTCTTTTCAAGATGTGGTCTATGCTTACTGTGGCAATTGATAACGTTTTTTGGATAACCATTAGCTAATAAAACTGAATGTATGTGTCGAAGCTCATCCATCAATGTGTCGCTTGTACATATTTTGCGGGCCCTTGAAAACAATCATATCATTAGGGAACGTTTATGCTGGATAGGAACAAAAGTGGTATAGTGAAGACATTGTTCACTCCAGTCCGTTTACGAAATACAGATCGCTTAATCGTTCCATCGTCTCTCCTGGTCATTGAAATATCCAGGAAATCGAGTTTGTTATTCAGTTAGAATTCGGAAGTCACTCGGATAATCGGATGAATATGATTAAACAGAGGAATAAGGTTTTCAATAGACTTACTATTATTACTAATAATAAATGTATCATAGTAGACTACTTGACTTATTTAAATATGATTGGTCATTAGTATGTAGTTTTGTTTTATGTAAATGAGTAATTGTCATGCACTTTATTTTATTTTATTATTGTTAACCATGTTAGTTGTAAGGCAGTTGTAAAGAAACTACAAAGTGATATCATCTCGCGAAATTTGTCTTCAAAATGCCTTTTTCAGATTTATCAAAGGGACTGATTGTTTTAATTCCAAAGATCACAGAAAGGGTACTTTGAAACTTGGAGATAAGGGAGCAGACGAAAATTCAGCAAATTTAATTCATCTACAAATTTATAGCTGTGATTTTTCAGTCACTGTATTTTATTAAATGCACTAAAATTAAAATATTAAGATAACTTACATATGCATTAATAAACTTATGCTTACATGCAAAGCATATATTATATACGACGGGTAAACTTACTAAATGGCTAAGTGGTTTCGCAGACTTTTCACCAGAGTTCAAAAATACTGAGTCCACTAAATCCAGAATACGTTTAGCAACTTCTTCTAAGCCCAATAACTAATCATTTCAAGCAACAATAAAAAAAAGGAAACAACACAATAATAACTGAAAGTTATACAAATTGATGAATAAACAATTAAATCCGTTTTGAACCAAAAAAAAATAAGAAGTTAAAACTACTACTTAATTCCTTTTGTTCACTTAAATAATATGATTAGAAGATAAGGGTAGTCTGTGATAAATACATTAGCAGTCAATATATGCTCTTAACACTCTCATCTCCTTTAAACTTGTTAAACAAACAATCTAACAATCCCGTAAAGATAATATCAAGTCAACAAGAAAGAAATCTACGATGGAATTTTAAATATATCATTCTTAGTACTAAAATTGAATTCACTGTTAACTTTAAACTGATTTGGTGTAAATAGAAGGATGGAAAGAAGTAATTATTGATGGATGATACAGGTTTCATTTGATCTGTTAACATATATCAAAACCTGTGTGAATATCAGTCATATGATATTATATTTTAGCATATTTTGTAATGAGTGATGAAATCTGTTATTAATAGTTACCAAATAATCACTTGTTTTCGAAACCATTTGCAACCATGCAATAATGTTAGGAATTTGAAGGTTTTATCCCTTGGCTGAGAGTTATTCAGATGGGAAACAATAACTAAGCTCACACGTCATCAAACCATTACTGCTAGTAAACCTTAAAAGTTATTCATTAAGTTCAGCAACTAGAGTAGTACAATCACCAAGATGACTAAAAGCGTGTGAAGAATGTAGGATTATGTTAAGTAAGTGATGAATGCCACCATTAAAAACTAAATAATCACCGGAGTAAGTAAATGTTAAAGAAGTTTATCAATTAGATCTGGAGAGTTGATATGCTTACACACTGAGGTAATGAATTAATCATACGGAAAAGAATTAATCGAGTTACTGTCTTAGGTAAATAGGTATTATTAGTGTATTTACATAATGCATTTGTGGAATCACAAGCCTGCCAAATACAGTAAAAGTAAGGTTATAAAATAAGGACTACAAATATCTTTTGTGAACGTCAGTGTCGATTAAATATCTTTATATATTTGATCTGTCCTTTTGTGCTGGTAAATCACTCCCTAATTTCCTGTCACCTTTAAAGTTGCCTCCTGAGTACTTCACAGTGGCAAGTGTATGATGTTCTATATCTATGCTTCACCTAAGTGGAGATTACATGATGGGCAAATGATAAGTCGCTTTTTGAAGAATCTGGCCAACCACTGAAAAAATTTATTTTTTTCTTGTTTTGTTCGATGTCATCAAGGTAAACGGGTGTATAAATTATTCTTAACTAAGTAAATTTCATGATAGCTTCAATATACATAAATTTATTTTCCACCTTCGCAATATGACGAAAATTACTCAATCATAGCATTTACAGTTGCATGTACTATTTGCTTAAGTTATTCAACTTATCCTTTACAAGTATAAAGTAACATTTAAAAACTTAACCGAGAATTAACTTCGTTTTTCTTCTCCACACTACTAAAACTGCCTACAGATTTTAATTTAAATTGTTGTTTTATGTACGACTTGAATCCGTGAACTTGCTTCCAGTATTTCCACTGAACTGGTATAAAGAGCCAGTATTATTATTATTATTGTATCCTTTAATTCCTACAGGAACATAGGGCTTCAGCCGTGCGTCTCCATTGCGTTCTGTTCTCTGCTAGAGTCTTCACCTGGCTCCAAGTTTGCCCACACACTAAGTGTTTCATACCTTGCATTATATACTTACAACCATAGCTTGGAGAGTATTTTTGTTATTTACGGGATTCCTTTTACTGTGATATGTCTAACAATTTTCCTCAGCTCCAGTTAGTATCTTATCGTATTTACATGATTTATCCATTAAAGGTGATGTGTTTTGAAACAAAATACGTAAAACTCTTGAAAATACATACCCATGGGTTTGTTGAAGGACCCTCTGCACATCCTATTTGGTTTCCCATGGAGTCCAGTAAAACCATCCGTGAACCTGTTGATCCACTGTGTATAGTAATAAACAATGAATCAACACACTGAAGAATATTTTGAAGTTATATACAACGGTTAAATTAGTACTACTTATATAAATGTCAGGGAGAGACTGAGATAAATTCACTCACCCAAAGATGGCTTATAGAAAACTCCCTACGTATGTTAGCTTCGTAGATCCTAACTGACCATACAGTGAGGACAGTTTTCCAAGTTCAACAGCTAAAAGGTACATGAAACGTCTTAAAACGATTACCAGGTTTATTCAATCATTTGTCTAGAGTCTACTATGTATATGATATAGGCTTTTTGAATCTTCATATTCCTGTCAATTTTGAAAACAGTATTTCAAGTTTATGTACTTTCGTAAACGAATTCACCTCAGAAAATTTGAATAAAGCACTAACAACACATGGATCAGGATAAAACTAATCCATTTCATTTTTGTCATCCGACTAGCTGCTTAAAGTTTCAAAAGTTTTGTTACGATTTTAACATACTTAATTAAAAACAAATCATCGAATAATAATTAAGAATTATCATGGCATGTAGATGAATCGAAATGTTAATTTAGTAAAATATAAAAATATCGCTATACTTGTATATGTAATGCAATGGAATTTTCTTGAATAAACCAAAAAGTGGGGGGCAGGGTTACCTACTGTAACTAACCGTAAAAAATAAGGAACCGGTTGCTACTCTGTTTGAGGAAACAGATACACAGGCGCTACGGTGTGGCACTAGTATAACAAGGAAAAGCACTTAAAACTCTGTATTGCACCAGCGATATTACTAGCTGACCATAGAAATATCTTTGTTAAATATTATATTTTATGGTATTGATATATATAAAAACTTAAACAGTTGTATTTCGGAGAAAATTTTCTACCACGGAATTATCATTCACTTTCACTGAATTATGGTTACTCGGGAGAATTATTTTTACTGATGTGCATCTGTAGCATAAGTTGGTAAGTTAAGGTTAGTGTGCTTATTTGTTACGAACTAAATCGTACATTTAGTTCCTTTAGAATGTTACCTTCAAGCAGCTAAAATGTACCCCTGAAATTGTTTGCTAGTACTAACCACTGGAAGTAATAAAACATATGATAAAGATAGATCGATGGTAGTGCACTATAATAGGCATAGGTAGGATACTAAACTGTGAATTAGAAAGGGTTGATTTAAATAATACTTCCTTGTACATTAGAGATAAGCTGTTTCTCACTTCTTATTTATACGAGTTTTCCCGAGGACTCATCATTTACTGCTTATGCGTGATCTAATAGACACAACGCACCATCGTATATCGGGCTTTTCAATAACCTGGCATCACAGGTTCAAACAATAAGCTGGGAAATAAGAGAGAAGTAACGTAAAAACTTCACACGAACTCGTGGCCTGGTGGAAAAAAGTTAGCATTCTACACACGAGATACGCTATATGTAATCCGAAGAGAGGGAAATTTTAACAATTTCATCCGTAGTTCGGTAAAATAAGAGCAAAAGAAGTTTTGTCTCACTAGAGTAAAGTGAGTTTTTAGCTAATGTAGTAGATAATTATTCACTCACTGATGAGATTAGGCAACTTTGAAAACAAGTTTACGATTATTCATAGTCAATGTCTAAAAATTCCCTTGAAACATGTATGTTTCACAAAATTATCTTTAACAGAAGAAACACCAAACGCAAAACCTAGAACATACCCTTCTATGCCACCAATAAAAGCCATAAGAAACTTAATCAGGATACCAAAAGATGATTTCTTAAAAACGAAACTTTCTCGTCTTCTCTGAGGAGTTATTTCCTGATATAGAGAACCACTGTTCACGAAAAGTTGCGAAAATTCTAAAGCGAAAAATACACGATAAAAATCCACTTAGAAACTGTATATATACATGAAGTTATTATTTATAGTTCAAAAAAATCCACTTAATAAATGTTGTCCAGCGGCAGACTTACATACACATTAAGCTTAAGCTTACTGAATTTTTAAATTCTTTAGCAGCCATTGGAAGTCGGTTTCCACCAACTTCGGTTTGGAGGACTGGCGATATAATAAGCCCTCATACGATGCGCATGACTTGTAGCCTTCAACATGAGAAGTATGTTAGGTTTAGCTGAGTGTCAACCAAACATGTATGTGACTGGTCTCGATCACTACATGTAACTACTTTGTGACAGGCTCAATATCAATAGCGGCTCATATTTTTTCACAATAAAGAATTGACCCGAAATAAATGCGAAAGAAAACACGTACGTGTCAAACTTAAAGACTTCACAGGGAATTTGTCTTATATGCCACCAAATTGACCGTAGATTTTCAAGTCTATATATTTGCATTTATCTGACGCATATAGATACAAACTGCTTAGGAAGCTGATCAATTAGCGTCCTAAGATAACTAGCACTAGTTTTGCTTGAGACATGTCTGCTAGCACTGTCACAAATGAAGTTATCTCTGCATCTGCCCAAAGAACTTTGCTCTCTTGGAAATCTTAATAGGATTTTTATCTATAAAACTTTTCAGTCGAATGCTTACGGTAGGGAATCCCTGTATCATTAATTAGTAATTTAAATAGTAGGAACGTATCCCGACCTTGAGGATTCGAAAGTCTGCTTCAATCATTACTCGCGAACTGACCGGAATGCGCCAACTTTGAAAAGGGAGTGAATTTGACACTCTCTTGATTCAATCCGGAGTTGGTTGTGTTATACTCGCCAAATGCCTATAGATTAACTTTAACTCAGTTTATTCTGACTGAAGTTAGTTTTTTATAAGTTTATAGTTTATTTGCCTATAAAGTTACTTTTAATAACATTATCGTATTCACCTACCTGAACGTTTTTCGAAATGGATGGGTTTTAATTGATGGTTATCTGTTAGGTCATATTTGGGTTATCTACTCACAGTTCATTCTGAAAGCTACGTCTGTAATGAGAAACCTTCGCAGAAAACTTATGTGTGAATTTACATTTCTACGAATGCACTAGGTTTGAGAGTTGTAAGTTATGGTTCCACAACATTTGCACCAACTTAACCGCTGCAACATACAGATAGTGCTGCAGAACCCTAGCGAATGACTGTGTAATGAATGCTGCAGCACAACTGAGTTCCATATCAAAGAAGATATTGCCACGCTCAGTGACTGAGTTCCATATCAAAGAAGATATTGCCACGCTCAGTGAGACATTAAAGCTTCTGAACTGCAAAGGTCCTTCACCACAAGAGAAGAGCAGATATTTCCCAGTCACCGATTATGCGGCTAACGTCATTGACAAAATACTAAGAACACTTAGTTTCTTACCATCGAGGAACGAAAGCCCCTTGGCACAGAATAGCATCAACCATTGCTGCAGCACTCACACTATCCCTAATATACCCAGCAAGCTCTTTGTTACTCGTAACAAAATAGCGATAGGGAACTACAACACTAAATTGCATATTGCTGACTCAATGAAACGGCGTAAAAAGGAGTTGTTAACCCTCAGATAAAGTTGCCCTTGGTCTTACAGATTGAGCCTCGCAAGTGGATAGTAAATAGCCAAAACTAACGACAGTTCGTGAAGAGGACGCCAGTGGATGGCGTATTGATGTTTCCCACAAAAAGGGAGACCGTGATAACTTTTAAGCTGCGGTGTCCACGTAGGACTGGAAGAGGTTTTCATTGCACAGCAGGAAAGTTGCCCCAAGAAAACCTGATATTCCCAGTAGGTCACTCATTCGCCACAAAGTTGAAAAATCAGTGAACTCGTATACCATGACCAGATTTGAACATGACCTCAAACTAGTCAAACCAATCTTAGGCAAGTTACTACCAAAAACAGAATCAGTTGCAACTGTTCATAGCTTGTACAAAATCAGCCAATAGGTCGTTTGTGCATTAAACCAGCCGGTACATCTCGAAAGTCTAACTGAAATCTAAAACAGAGAGAAATGCTATGCCAATCAACTCTCAAACTCCCAAGGCAGTAGGCATGTACGTCTGTGATGAATTATGCTTAACAGACCACGTCAAAAGACAGTCTCTAGCTGATGGTTTAGGTGAACAGTACACGGATGGCAAGAAAAGCCTTGCGATTGATGGTTTTCATATTGTCAATGTCTGAATTCTGATGATTTGGAAACCTATCAAACTCCACTGTGCGCAGGGGGAACAAATAAGTCGCAAAACGGGTGGCGTAATCATCTGTCTCAATAAGTTCCTAACAGTGCTTAGCACTGAGGCTCTTGCACACGAAATTGGAACACACTAACTTTGTACTAAAATGTACAGGCCAAGATACTGACCTCGTCACTCTACAGCGTAGTCCCAGCTACAATGCAGACGACTTGCTGTTGGAGAAGCTAGGCTCATGGACACCTAAATGTTGCAGTCTCATAGTTGTCGACTTCAGAGTCCCAACGTTTGACTGAAAAGAAACTAGGGGCAGGGAAATCAATGGGACTTAATAATTTTCATCCAAGGCCTCTTACTGAGCTATCAGTTCATATGGCCGGCCTGCTCACTGCGACCTTCAAGGTACGTTCCCTGAATTGAGTGCTGCCACGTGAGCGGAAAGACCCTATAGTAACCCTTATCCAAAAAGGAGGATAAAAGCAATGTCCTCCAAACTACAGGCCAATCAGTGTCACCACCAAATTAATTGAGGCACCGAAAAGAATCACCAAGAGACCTATCATGGTATATCTAGAAAACGACAAGTTGTTGTCCAGAGCGCATCATGGCTTCCAAGGAGACCTCTCATACCTTACAGCATGAGAAAGCTGGGTAGAGTCAAGGAACAGCAGAAGGTTCGTAGACATCGTCTTCATGGACTTCATCAAAGCCCTCGACAGAGCACCTGACATAAGACTGCCCACGAAATTGATAATTCTTGGAATCAAAGGCGCCTCACCAAACTAGACTAGGGAATTCCTGACAGGTAAGAGACAGAGAGTCAAAATCAAATCAAAACTCTCCTCCAAGACATCGGTACGCAATGGAGTGCGACGAATCACTTTCCTCAGGTCCCTCCTAATTATTTTGTATATTAGTGATTTCTGTGCTCACCTACTCCCCTGCAATCCTGTGAGCAGATGACTTAAAAATTTGATTGGAGCCAGTACCCTCATGTTGCAAGGAGAACTCACCAACTCGTCAGATTGCCCCAAAGAATTGATGTCCTAGGTCAACAAAGCGAAATGTGTGACCACGGGAAATGGACACTCAAGTGTCAGTTCCTATGAACTAGAGGTAACAAAACTCCCATCAGTTCGGACTAATTTGGTTTTAGGTTCCATA